TCGCCTTCACTTCCGCCCTTTCGGGGGCGGGGCTTACCGCCGCTCCTCGCTGCACTTCCGGCTGCGAGGCAGCTGCTGTGGCTCCCAGATGATGGAGACGGAGCGACTTGGTGAGGGGGCGGGGGTGGAACGAAGGAGTAGACAGGAATCTACCCTTGACCCCTGACCTCTGATCTTCCTCCCGTAGTGCTGCCTCCCCCGGACCCCCTGGACCTGCCTCTTCGGGCTGTGGAGCTGGGATGCACTGGGCGCTGGGCGCTGCGGAATGTGCCGGGGGCTCCGGAGAGCACGGTGAGCGACTTATGACCCTAACCTTTGACCCGCACTGGGCTCAAAACCCTTTCCTTACAGTAGGACGAGCATGACCCGCTTTTCTGCCGACACCTGTCATCGGGCCGGCCTGGTGCAGGGCAGACTCCAGCCTAGTGCTGCTCCGCGTGGGAGCCCCTTGAGGACCAGCGAGGCGCTCCGGGGGTGTCTTAGCTCCCCAACTGCGCTTCCCAGTGTGTCTGTCCTCGCGCAGGCCCTTCTGTCTCCAAGCACTTGGTGGCTGAGATGCCAGCCCACTCTTCATCTTTCGGTCTGGGCCCTTTTCCCTAAAGCTGGTGATTCTCAAATGTCAGGTGCCTCATAATCAGGGGGCCAGCTTTTAAAGAACACAGATTCCTGGGTCCAGCCCCAGCTTCTGAAATCTGTACTATTAACCAGCAGGTCCTTTGTCCCTGAAAGTGTCACAGCCTTTGGGAAACATCGCTTCACTTTGATTGTCCTAGTCTGTCTGGGTCATCTGCCGTTTCTGCTCTAACACCAGTCTCATCCCTGTCTCTCATCTCGCCTGGCCCCAGCTTCCCCGCGGCCTCCCTCCCTGTGCCCCAGATCTGCAGCACGAAGCCGAGCAGTGGTTCCTGTCGTCTCCAGCCTGGCTGCCTCTGCATGGCCTGGAGCACTCAGCTCGGTGAGGGTCGGAGGGGCCTGGCCTGGGGAGGTGGCCCATGGAGGAAGCTGAGACAGAGGAGAAAGAAGACTTGAAAGTTACTTCCTTCTCTCTAGAACATGGCAGAGGAAGATGGATCCTTGGTCCCTCCTTACTGTCCTGGGGGCCCCAGTCCCCTCCGACCTGCAAGCCCAGAGACAGCCAACCACGGGCCAGATACTGGGCTTCAAGGAGGTAAGGGCTCAGGGGCCACGAGCAGCAGGGCCGGGGAAGGCGGGTCGGAGGCACGCTCAGCCTCGGCTCTGCTCGCGCTCCTCAGGTCCTGCTGGAGAATACAGACCTGTCGGCCACCACCTCCTTATCTCTGCGCCGGCCACCGGGGCCCGTCTCCCAGTCCTTGTGGGGGAATCCCACACAGTACCCTTTCTGGCCAGGTAACTGTTGTGGAAATGAGATTGAAGGGGAGGGAGCCCTCAGTCTCCAGGGAAGGGCTCCCATATCCCCCCTCATGACTCCTCGTGTCCAACCTCTCCCCAGGTGGAATGGAGGAGCCCACCCTCACAGAGCTGAGCGCCCGGGAGGAGGCTGAGGAGGAGACAGACTTTGAGAAGGGTGAGGTGGTGCCAGGCTGGACCCTTGGGAGGCAGGGCTCCAAGTCTGGGCCCTGAGGACGAGGGGCCCAGGCCTCGCACTGGGCTGCTGCTAGCCCTTCCGTGCCTTGGATCAAGTTAGGAAAAGGTCCCCCTTCCGTAACAAACGTTACGGTCGCGTGTTGGAAAACTGTTACAACTGTCCCCAGCGACAACGCCCGTGCTGTGCATGGCATTCTTTAGTCTGTGTGACGTGTGACTTGCTCGGGAGTGCGCAGTGGTCCTGACGCGCTCTGTCCCTGCCCTGCAGACCTCCTTACCGTTCCACCTGGCTTCAAGAGAGGTGTGGACTTTGCACCAAAGGGTGAGTTCTGGGATGGGCGTGTAGAAGTGGTGCCCTTCTCCTGTAGAACGGAGATGGACGGACTGGGTCTCCCTTTTTGCCTGGTTCCTCAGATCACCCAGCTCCAGCACCTGGGTTGCTCAGCCTCAGCCGTCTGCTAGAGCCCCTGGATCTGGGTGGGGGCGACGAAGACGAGAGGGAGGCAGTGGGACAGCCAGGAGGTACCAGAGGAGACACTGTTCCAGCCTCTCCCTGCAGTGCTCCCGTGGCCAGAGCAAGCAGCTTGGAGGACCTAGTGTTGAAGGTGGGTGCTTCTGGGCAGTTGAAACAGGAAAGAAGGGGGCCTTGGCCCTGGGAGGTGGGCTGGCTGGCTTGGATCTAAGGGAGAGACTGGAGCATCTTTTGGGAGGAGTGGGAATGGGGAGCTTTCTGGCTGTATCTTTATCGCTCCCACCCCTTACTTTTCCAGGAAGCGTCCACAGTTGTGTCCCCTTCAGAGCCCCCCAAGCCCCTTCCTCAGGAGCAGTGGGCCATTCCTGTGGATGTCACCTCCCCCGTCGGTGACTTCTACCGCCTCATTCCCCAGCCAGCCTTCCAGGTAGTGTGGCCCAGGCCTCACATCTCCCCGCCTCCTCCCAGCCCGCTGCCTTGTCTGCTCTCCTCGCCAGAGGCCAGATGCCTTCCAGGCCAGTCTTGGACCTCAGTCCCAGCCTCGCTCATTCTGGCCTTCTACTGCCTTGCGTGCCCCAGGAGCCAGAGGTAGGAAGGCCCCTCTCCCTTCCTTAGCCCTCATCTAGTTCTCTCTCCCACAGTGGCCATTTGAGCCTGATGTGTTCCAGAAACAGGCCATCCTGCACCTGGAACGGCACGACTCGGTCTTTGTGGCGGCGCACACATCTGCAGGGAAGACGGTTGTGGCCGAATACGCCATTGCCCTTGCCCAGAAGCACATGACGCGGTACCGCCTCCCTTCCTCCGCCATCCTGCTTTCTCCCACGTCCTTTCTGGAGCTCCTCTTCCCATGTCCTTACTTCATCTTTTATTCATTATTTAAAAACACATTTTTATTGGTTTCTGAGAGGAAAGGGGAGAGAGAGAGGGAGAGAGAGAGAGAGATAGGAACATGTGATGAGAGAGAATCATTGATCAGCTGCTTCCTACATGCGCCACCCTGGGGTTGAGCCTGCAACCCGGGCATGTGCCCGACTGGGAATCAAAACATGACCTCCTGGGTCACAGGTCAGTGCTCAACCACTGGGCCACACCAGCCTGGCTTTACTTCATCTTTTAGATGGGAGAGTTGGGGGAGGAATGGAGACGGGCCTGGGAGGAAATGAGAAGGTGTGGGGAGAGAGTGTAGAAGCATGACCTGCATGCATTTAGTTCAGGAAGGGGTCGAGGGACAGAATTTTTCTGGGATCACGTCATGAAGGAGAATGAGGGCTATTTGGGTGAAAAAAGGGGGGGCTCCTGCGCGCTGCGGCATGCTGCTGGGCGGGCTCAGGGTGGGCGAGGAGGTGCTGACCGCAGTCTGTGTGGAGTGACTGGCTAACCTCACCCTCTTCCAGCACCATCTACACTTCCCCTATCAAGGCTCTGAGTAACCAGAAATTCCGAGACTTCCGAAACACATTCGGGGACGTGGGGCTGCTCACGGGGGACGTCCAGCTGCACCCAGAGGCCTCCTGCCTCATCATGACGACGGAGATCCTTCGGTGAGAGATGGGCCCTCAGCGCGGTGGGTCTGGCCCAGGAAGGCGAGGCTGCTCTGGAGCTGTTGGCTGGGCTGGTAGGGACGGGAGCCACTGGGGAGTCAGCCCGCCGTCTCCCCCAGCTCCATGCTGTACAGCGGCTCCGACGTCATCCGGGACCTGGAGTGGGTCATCTTCGACGAGGTTCACTACATCAACGACGCGGAGGTAAGGAGCAGGAGGCCCGTGGGGCCCCAGACCAGCAGCTCCCGCCACACACCCTGAAACCTCCCTGCCTTTGCCTCCAGTGGAAGCCGAGGAGCAGGACAGCCCCTCCGAGCTGCCCGTGACTTGTCTTCCCTTTCTGCCCAGCGTGGGGTCGTGTGGGAGGAGGTGCTCATCATGCTCCCTGACCATGTCTCCATCATCCTTCTGAGTGCCACTGTCCCCAACGCCCTTGAATTTGCTGACTGGATTGGGTGAGATGTGTGTCCCGGGTGCTGGGCGAAGGGGCTGTGGTCCTCCCGTGGTTGGGGGTGGGGCGAGGACTGCCACAGCAGGGAGCG